GGTAAGATGGATAGAAAGATGGCTAGAAGGCCGGGCCCAGCGGGTAGTGATCAACGGTTCGATGTCAGGATGGCGGGCGGTTTCTAGTGGAGTGCCCCAAGGTTCGTTTCTAGGACTGGTTTTGTTCAATATCTTTATTAATGATCTGGATGAGGGGATGGATTGCACCCTCAGCAAGTTTGCGGATGACACTAAGCTAGGGAGAGAGGTAGATATGCTTGAGGTTAAGAGATAGGGTCCAAAGTGACTTAGACAAATTGGAGGATTGGGCCACAAGAAATCTGATGAGGTTCAACAAGGACAAGTGTAGAGTCCTGCACTTGGGACGGAAGAATCCCAAGCATAGTTACAGGCTGGAGACCAACCAGTTAAGTAGTAGTTCTGCAGAAAGGGACCTGGGGGTTACAGTGAATGAGAAGCTGGATGTGAGTCAACAGTGTGCCGTTGTAGCCAAGAAGGCTAATGGCATATTAGGTTGCATTAGGAGGAGCATTGCCAGAAGCTCCGGAGATGTGATTATTTCCCTTTTTTCGGCTCTGGTGAGGCCACATCTGGAGTGTTGTGTCCTGTTCTGGGCCCCCCACTACAAAAAGGATGTGGACGCATTGGAGAGGGTCCAGCGGAGGGCAACCAAAATGATTAGGGGGCTGGAGCATATGACCTATGAGGCGAGGCTGAGGGAGTTGGGTCTGTTCACTCTGCAGAAGCGAAGAGTGAGGGGGGATTTGATAGCAGCCTTCAACTTCCTGAAGGGAGGTTCCAAAGAGGATGGAGAGAGGCTGTTCTCAGTAGTGACAGATGGCAGAACAAGGAGCAATGGTCTCAAGTTGTGGTGGGAGAGGTCCAGGTTGGATATTAGGAAAAACTATTTCCCTAGGAGGGTGTGGAAGCACTGGAATGGGTTACCTAGAGAAGTGGTGGAGTCTCCATCCCTAGAGGTGTTTAAGTCTCGGCTTGACAAAGCCCTGGCCGGGTTGATTTAGTTGGAATTGGTCCTGCCTAGAGCAGGGGGCTGGACTTGATGACCTTCTGAGGTCTCCTCCAGCTCTATGGTTCTATGATTCTATGAAAGCTTAAAGAACTGAAGCAAGGGGAAGCAATGCATTCCCTGGGTCTTAGTGCTCAACCGCTCCTCTCTTGCTAGCCCTATTCTGATTCTGCATGCACTTAAAGCTGTTTTAATGCTGGTTTTGTTTTTGTTTCTGTTTTGCTTAACTCTTGGGGTCCTTTTTTTTTCCTTAACAACTTTGGTCTCCCCCTTTTTTCTCAACAGAATTTTTTCCCTGGTGTTGTTGGGTTTTTTGGGGGGTGAGGGGTGGAGTGTATGGTATTTTTAGTTAAACCATCTGGCAACCCTTCCTCTAATTTTTTCACATCTTTCTTGAAATGTGGTATCCAGAACTGGACACAATACTCCAGCAGAGGCCTACTTCTCATAACTTGTTCACAACACTTATGATACTTTTCCAAGTCATTTTTAACTTGTTCTTTTCCTTTTTTTAAGTTCTGAACCTACCAGATTTTCACTGGCATTCAGTGTTAGGCATCCAGTCGCTATCAACCATCCTCGTGAAAATCAGCACAAAGAAGTTATTAAGCAGCTGCCATTTCCACATTTTCTGTTACTGTTTTTCCCTCTTCGTTGACCAATGGGCCTATCCTGTCCTTGGCCATCTTCTTGCTTCTAATCTATTTGTAGAATGTTTTCTTGTTTCCCTTTATGTCTCTAGCTGGTCTGAGCCTGTTTTGTGCCTTTGCCTTTCTAATCTTGCCCCTGCACACCTGTGTTGTTTGTTTATATTCGTTCTTTGTCCTTTGACCTAGTTTATTAAAGTCTGCCCTCCTGAAATCCGTTGTCTTTATTTTGCTGTTCTCCCTTCTACCCTTCCTTAGACTCATGAACTCTGTCATTTCATCATCACTTTCACCCAAGCTGCCTGCCACTTTCAAGTTCTCAACCAGTTCCTCCCTATTTGTTAAAAACGAATCTAGAGCAGCTTCTTCCCTAGTAGCTTTTTCAACCTTTGGAAGTAAAAAAATTGTTTCAAATCCATTCCAGGACTTGTTGGATAATCTGTGCCCCGCTGTATTAGTTCCCCCACAGCTGTCTGGGTAGCTGAAATTCCTCATCACCAACAAATCTTGAGCTTGGTTGTTTAAAAAAGCCTCATTGAGCTCTTCTTCCTGAATAGGTGGTCTGTAGTAGGCCCCTAGCATCACCCTTGTTTTTGACCCCTTTTAACCTAACCCAGAGACTCTCAACAAGTCTGTCTGCACCTCAGTCCATGTGTATACATTTTTAATACACAAGGCAACACCTCCCCCTTTTCCCCTGCCTATCCTTGCTGAGCAAGCTGTACCCATCTCTAACGATTTTCCAATCATGTGTATTATCCCACCAAGTCTCTGTGGTACCAACAATGTCATAGTTGTATTTATTTACTAGCACGTCCAGTTCTTCCTCCTTATTCCCCAGACTTCTTACATTTGTACCTAGGCATCTAAGATCCTGATTTGATTTGGTGCCCCAGTCCTGCCCTGTCCCCCCTTTATCTCTGCTATTATACCCCATGGCCTTCCCTGACCTGTCCCGCAGGTCTCCATGTTCTTCACTTACCAGTGGCCTTTGGTCACCTGCCCTCATCAAACCTAGTTTAAAGCCTCCTCACTAGATTAGCCAGTCTGCATCCAAAAAGGGTCTTCCCCTTCCTCGAAAGGGGAACCCCATCCCTGCTGAGAGTCCTTCCTGGAATAGCATCCCATGGTAGAGGAAGCCAAAGCCCTCCTGATGACACCATCGTCGCAGCCAGGCATTCACCTCCAGGATGCACCTGTCTCTGCCCAGACCCTGACCTTTGGCAGGAAGGATGGAGGAGAACACCACTTGGGCTCCAGACTCCTTCACCCGTATGCCCAGAGCCCTGGAGTCCCTCTTGACCCTCAGTGTCGCACCTCGCAGCATCACTAGGCCCGCATGCAGGAGCAGTCAGAGGGCCGGATGATTCTCGACAATCCCTCTGTAACGTCTGAGACACGGGCCCATCTCCCGGGATGCTAAGTCAGGGCAACAGATGGACATCTCCAGCTCCTCAGAAGAGAGTCTCCAGTCTCCAGCCACCACTACCCTACGTATCCTCCTGCGAGTGTTGGCTGCAGACCTCATGGATGCTCCTCCTCCTCGGGGTGATTCCTCATCTCCCATGTCCAGAACAGAGAACGGTTCTCCAGAACCATGGTGGGAAGGCCGGGCACAGGGGTGGAGCCCTGCCTGCCACCAGCAGGGAGCAGCTGCCCAAGACTTCTCCTCCCCCAGTGGTGTGTCAGCAGCCCTCTTAGCCAGAGAGCTTCCTCAGCCTCAGTCACCTCCACATGAATATTCTCCAGGAATCCCGCATGGGCTCAGATGCTCCTCATCCCAGCACCTCCTCCTGTCCTCTCCCACCTGCTGCCTGAGACTCAGGGCAGGGGTCCTCAGACTGTTTGCCAGCATGACCCCATTTTAGTACATGACTCCCTCCCTGGACCTCAGGCAGTATGGAGAAAGCCAGTCCCCTGAAGAGCGTGTCCTCATCCGTGTGAGGCACGCAGGGTCAGGCCTCATGGGGGAGGCCATTTTAGTATTTGAACGCACCATAAAGGTTGGAGCTGTTATTGCAATAAAACAGTCTGATTCCAACTCACTGGCTGCGTCTAGGCTGGCAGGATTTTCTGCAAATGCTTTTAACAGAAAAGTTTTCCCATTAAAAGCATTTGCGGAAAAGCGTCCGTGCCCATCTAGACGCGCTTTTGCGCAAAAAAGCCCCGATGGCGAAAATGGCGATTGGGGCTTTTTTGCGCAAAAGCGCGTCTAGATGGGCACGGACGCTTTTCCGCAAAAAAGTGCTTTTGCAGAAAAACTTGCCAGCTGTCTACACTGGCCCTCTTGTGCAAATACATTTGTGCAAAAGGGCTTTTTCCCGAACGGGAGCATCATAGTATTTGCAGACGAACACTGACAATCTTACATCAGATCGTCAGTGTTCTTGCGCAAATTCAAGTGGCCAGTGTAGACAGCTGGCAAGTTTTTCTGCAAAAGCAGCTGCTTTTGCAGAAAAACTTGTCAGTCTAAACACAGCCACTATGTTTGAATGTTTGTCCCAGGGGAAATGTCGGTGTTTTGGCTTTGTGTCGGCATTCAGCCTTGGTTTCCCCAGAGAGGTCTGGTGTTAAGCTGACTGGTCCATAGCTTTCTAAATTTTCCTTATTTCCCTTTTTAGACCAGGTGTCTCCACACAAGGTCACTAATTTCTTTGGTTTATCCTTGTGTGGAGCATCTGTTTGCCAAAGAAGCAGCTGTGTTACTCTGGCTGCTTTTTGCAGCTCATGTTATCAGTCCTTCAAAATACAGAGTAGTAAGCTGGTGTGCGTGTGTGTCTGTATGCCTCTGTGTGTCACAATGCTCCGTACTGCTGGCAGAGGATGGAGACTTCCCTTCAGCTCAGTACTGAGGCTGAGACTACAGCACCAGTTCCCGATTCACGTTTTTGAGGTTCTCGTCATGGATGTGAGAGTTAGAAGCAAGACGGGCAGGTGCCAGCAAGGTGCAGCCAGCCCTGGAGCGGGCAATGGATGAGTAGAGGGGATGTGGAGACAGCTTCCCCTCCCACCTTGCTTAAACCTGGGCCTTGGGCCTTTTCTCACACAGGGCTGGTGCGAGGTGTAATTCATGCCTGTGTTTAAACCACGCTGACCTGCTCAGGGACAAGGGTCTAGCGCCAAGCCAGGTCTTGCTGAGCCCTGGCCAGCCACAGCCCCTCTGGCAAAGTCCTGTGCCAGGCAGCCGGGAGGAGAGGGTTCGGGCGGTCGAGACTTTTCACAGGGCCTTAAAGAACCCCCTGGACATGGCTGGGGCGTTGACTACTGGAGTACTGTGTCCAGTTCTGGGCGCCACATTTCAAGAAAGATGTGGAGAAATTGGAAAGGGTACAGAGAAGAGCGACAAGAATGATTAAAGGTCTAGAGAACATGACCTATGAAGCCAGGCTTCATGAACTGGGCTTGGTTAGTTTGGAAAAAAGAAGATTAAGGGGGGACATGATAGCGGTTTTCAAATATCTAAAAGGGTGTCACAAGGAGGAAGGAGAAAATTTGTTCCTCCTGGTTTCTGAGGACAGGACAAGGAGTAATGGGCTTAAAGTGCAGCAGGGGAGGTTTAGATTGGACATTAGGAAAAAATTCCTAACTGTCAGGGTGGTCAAATATTGGAATAAATTGCCAAGGGAGGTGGTGGAATCTCCCTCTCTGGAGATATTTAAGAACAGGTTAGATAGACATCTGTCAGGGATGGTGTAGGTGGAGCTTGATCCTGCCTTGAGGGTGGGGGGCTGGACTCGATGACCTCTCGAGGTCCCTTCCAGTCCTATGATTCTATGACTAGAAAACGTGATCATTGCCCCAGACCCTGGAGCCCTCTTGTGTTCGTGTTCATTAGACTTCCCTAGGCTGACAGTGCAGCGCTCAGCTGCCTACCCTCCCATCTGGAGGGGTGTTGCCTGCGGTGGAGGTGGCCCAGACGCGAACCAGGGTGGGGGTAAATCAGCTGTGGCCGGCGGTGGGCCTGGGCGTGGGCAATGCGGGGCCCTTATCGATGCCACCGCTAAAGCGAGCGTGCAAGAGGCAAGGTGGAGCAGGGGTGAGCTGTGCCTTGCCCAGCACCGAGCCACGTGCTAGCGGGGGGTTGCCTTGGCACCGCCGTCGGGATTCAGTGCCCTCTCTCCCCCTTGCAGATCTCACCGATGAGAAGTACACGGACATCCTGTGGTGGCTGAGAGGTTGGTGTCTCATCTCGGTTCCTCCCAAATCCCACGGGACCCAAGAGCTCCTCTCCCTTTCGCGAAGGCTCCCCTACCCCCTGCGTGCTCAGGTCAGCAGCAGCAACTGCAACCAGGATTCCCACCTTGCTATTTTTGTAGGACCTACACAAACACTGGTTTGCTTTTGCATGGTTATCCCCTGCATCACAGACTGCATTAAAGGTGGCTCTTAAGCGTCTGTGGCCTGTGATCTGTTTGGAGTTTCCCCTGGGGCCTGCGAGGTGCCTGCAGCCCAAGGGGGATTGTGATCAGCTGCTCCAGAAGCTGACATTTCTGGGGCACAAAAGCCGGCCGGTGAATTGTGGCTGGTGCCCACAGCCAGCAACCTGCCCCCAGCCTGCTGAGCTCACAGGCAGTGAAGGGTGGCTGCCCTGCTGGTTTCCCTGGGTTGCCCTTTGCCCCGGGCGTCTCGGGGGTGCATGTCACTGAGTGGTGCACTAACCAGTGCTCGTCTCTCGCCTTCCTTCCTGCGCCTCTTCGCCTGCCTCCCACCCCTGCGCACGGCTCCGTGGCCATCCCCCGCTGCCAGACGAAGAGGTAAGAGACCCCTTGGCAGATGGCCCCCTCTCCAGGCTCCCTGGCGGCTCAGTTCTGCTGCCTTGGAGCTCTCCCATGTGCCCACCCAGGCAGCCGCCTCCAGCCCATCCTATTGTCACCCCCCCAGCACCTCGCAGGGCCCCCTGCCGGCTCGGGGCAGCCCTGCACCTCCCTGACCCTTCTGGGATCCCCAGTCAAACAGCATGCGGGGTTCCAGCCCTTCCCAGGATCCAGGCCCCCAGGCCCGCTCGGAGTCCTCCCTGCCTGCACTGGCACCCCCAGCCCTTCCTCAGTGCAGCAGCTGCCTTGGGCTTCTTGGCTAGAGCCTCCTTCCATCCACCTCTGCCCTGTGTGAGCAGCGGCCTGGCCTGGCCTGGCCTGGCCCCCGCGCTGCCACCTTCGCCCACATGGCACTTGAGGGAGCTGGGCACTTTCTGGGCCTTGCTGAATTTCCCTCTCTGCTCGGGAGCCCAGCCCGCCAGGGGATGGGCACAGGCTGAGCTGTTGCTGCACCCAACTCACTGGCTTCCTGGGTTTGCTACTGGCTGGAAACTCGTCCTTGGTCAGAGGGGCTTGGACGGCCTGAGCACAGCAGGGAGTCCCTGGGGGGCTCTGTGCTCGGCGGGCACCCATGGAAGGATGCGTCGACTCAGCAGATGGCACTGTTGGGTACCAGTGGTCCAGGCACTGGCTGGCTACAGCCAGAATCAGCAATGCATTGCCAGGTACACAGCGAGGTGTTTACTGGCCAGAGGATGCTGGGCACCTGCAGGGCCACATGGGGCAACGTGTTGTGTGCTGCACACGGAGGGGGTTACAAAACCTAGCCAGGCCTGGCAGAGCTGGGCAGGGATCGCAGGGCTGAGGTGGGGAGGGGAGCCCGTTGTCAGGCAGCATGTGGCCTTCCACTGTGTGGGAGCAGGGCAGGGATCTGCCGGCTCCCCACAGCCCTGGACTGCGAGAGCTATTCCAGGCTGGTCAGATCAGTCCCCTGGAAGGGGACCCAAAGAAACGCAGCTCTCTGGGTAGCCAGCCTTTGTCCCCAGGCTGAGCAGGGGGTTGCTGTTCCTCTGGCCTCGCCGCAGAGGCTGAGCAGACACGCCCAGTCCGACGGGGGCCGCTACCGGTGCTGGGGGATCACCAGTCACTGGCTTTATTTCTGCTCCCTGTTTGGATGCAAAGACGAGGATAGCTGGGGGTATGTCTACACTGCCCTCCTAGTTCGAACTAGGAACTCATTCCACGAGGAGTAATGGTAGTTCGAACTAGGAAGCCTAGTTCGAACTACCTAGTTTGTGCCCCGTGTAGCCGCGCTGCACGGGGTTCGAACCAGCGGGGTTTTAAAAATGGCGGCTCCCCGTTTATGCAAATGAAGCCCGGGAAATTCAAATCCCGGGCTTCATTTGCAAGTGCGGTATGCCTACATTACCCTCCTAGTTCGAAGTAGCGGGGTAGTGTAGACATACCCGGAGTGAGTCCTGAGTAGGGCGCGTCCTGCTGCGGATTTCGCTATGAACCATGGGGGTGAAGAGCTGTGGCCGTTCCAGCATTCACACGCGTGTTTATTGCTCCCTGTGCTCGCCTCAGTGCTCAAGAATAGTGAATAATGGCCCACCTGGCTCCTCGCTGTTATTCACAGGACTAGCGGCTTCTTCGCATTTTCATTCCTTGCTCCAAGAGGTGCCCTGAGGCCGAGGCTGGGACACACTTTTGTCACCCAGAAGGTTTTAAGGTGCATGTGGAAAGTGCAAAGCTTTCATCCTTGAAAATACGGCCCTGGCGCGCAGAAAAGCAGCCCGTGACGCCCGCAGGGAACTGATGGGCTCAGGCGAGGGGAAGGAGTCCGGGGAGCTGGTTGGCTTTTAAAGACTCCCTAGTGAAGGCGCCGGAGCAAACCCACCCGTTGCGCAGTAAGAAGAGCAAACGTGGCCGGCGACCAGCTTGGCTTAGCAGTGTGATCTCCGGCAAGCTCCAGGACAGCAGGAAGCTTCCGAGAAGTGGAAACGTTGCCGTGACGAGGCCAGAGGCATCTGGACGGAGCACCGCTCTGGCCCCCTCAGGCCAACTGGCTGAGCCCGGGGACCCGGCTTCTCTTCTCACTCGCCTGTGGCGACATGGAGCCGCGTCTCTCTGTGAAATGGGGCTTGCTCTGCCTGACTTGAAAGCTGGGTTCCGAGGTTCCAGTGCCGGGCCCCCTTTGCCGGGCATTTGCCACGTGCCTGCCCTAGCGCCACATTTCTCCAAGCCGGGCGCCCTGGAGAGCCCTGAGCACAAGGCCAGAGCTTGTGGAGCGAGGCGCGGCTGAGCACGGTGCTCCCTCAGACCAGACCGTTCCAGCTCTGACGTGCTGCACCCATCTCCGCTCTGCAGCAAGCCCCTCCCATGGAGCCACCACTGGGCGAGGGACGGCCTGTGGAAAGCGGCACGCGGCAGGAGCAGGACAGAGCAGGGAGCTGGCTATGCCAAGGGCCTGGTAGTCTGGGCTCCCCGCAAGGAAACCTTTTCTTTTCCAAGCCCCTGACCCCTGGGGCTTCCTCTCAGACCCATTCTCCAGGTCTCCATGGATGCATACACAGGCACAGACGGGGGGCGTGGTTCCCTGCATCCACACGGAATCATTGGCAGCTGATTCCACGCCCCGGGCGAGTGGGCGTGGGCGTGTCCGAGCAGTGCTGCAGCATGAGCTGTGTCCCCGGGCACCCGGCCAGGGTCTGCATTGGCCATGCCGCCATGGTGGGTCACTATCTTCAGCGGCTGAGCCAGGGAGCTCGTCAGCAAGAGCGCGAGGCAGTGGCAGGCTGGCAGGCAGTGATCCATACGGGCCCTGCAGGGACAGGCCTGTGCGGGGTTCATCATCCCCTGCGCTCCAGAGAGGCCTCCGGGC